CTCAAAAATGAATTCGACTTTAGAAATTGGATTTGAAGACATTGAGCAAGGGTTGAGTGAGGCTAAAAGCTCTATGACGAAGATATGCGGCCTTAAACTTTGTTTGTTACGCATAAGTGACGATTGACAGTCGGACTTGCAGGTCGCCGCAGGTGACCTGCCCGACACTGCAGGCCACCTTCGGGGAACTGCAGGTCCAACTTTGCCCTGCCAGTCACCTTCGGCGACCTGCAGGTCTAGCTCCAATTTTTTCCGTATGCAGGTCTACGCTTGCCGTGCGGGTGGGTGGTGGGAAAGTATGGTCCCTGACTCAATAAGTCAGAGTCCGCTTCTAAATTTTTGTCCGAATTGACCGACATAAAGCTGTATCTAATCCAGAAGTGGTTTTTAGCCTCCATACCAAATTTCAGATGAAAATAACAACTTTTAAAAAGGGTATGGGTCCCCCAGTGTCATTTTGGTTGCACTTTGCAAACTTTTAACTTCATATTATTTCATGAGAAACCATTAAGTATCACCGTATTGAATTTCATCAATCGGTATGGGTCACCCCATAGAGTCACTCCAGATAAAAATTTTACCAATTTCTTTTCATATTCTTCCATTAGGACCCATAAGCAACATCTCTACCAAATTTCAGCTCGAGATGATGATTTTGAAAAATCGGTATGGGTCACCCCATAGGGTCACTCCAGATAAAAATTTTTCCAATCTGAAGTCATATTCTTGCATTATGTAGGTGCCATTAGCAACCACTGTACCAAATTTGAATTTTCTACGACAATTTTGAAATTTTGATGCATATTACCCACCTACTCCGATGACCCCCACCGGTCAACCACTGGACCGATTTCGCCCATCTTCGAACTCGTTTCCTAACTTTGTCCAATATGCATATGGTACAAATTTCAAGTCAATCGGTTCAGCCGTTTTGGCTCTATCGTGCCGGACAGACAGACGGACGGACAGACAGACGGACGGACCTGACGCTTCCATAAGCCCTGACTCGAGCTAAAAACCTATCAGTACAGCTTTGCTTAGCCCGAATTCATTAGTTTTCCTATATTTTGGAGGGCAATCTTCTTCAACTCCTCTTGAAGTTTTTTTCCGAAACGCCAAAAAAAACTGGAGCTCGTCTGAGATCCAGCTATGGTTTTAGTAGTCTAAACAAACCCATTAAAAATCTAAAGGAGTGGCATCAAGACTTGTCACAGGTATCTGAGAATTAGGAATGATTGTAATCCCTAACTTTTGTTAAAACTCGGCTGCATACTGGGTCGTTTTCCCAGAGATTTTCGTGGTGAAGTTTGTTTTCGAAATTTTCAAAATTTCATCAAAATTATTTTATTCATACAATAACTATGTAATATCTAAGTTTAGTGTGAATTGTATTTCGAGTATGTAAGAAATAATGTTTTTGGAGAAAAATTTCACCTTAAATAGCGATGATGATATTCTGCATCCATTTTCAGTTCATCGACAAGAAATGATTCAAAATACACTACGCAATTACGAAAAATTTGCCGGGTATACATTGTTCGTTGACGGCGGCGTCGATTTTTACAAATTTGTCCCAAAATTAATAGTTTTAATAATTTCGAAGGATGCATTTTTTACCGAATTAAAAATGCAACTTCAGAGAATGGATATGTTTCAAGTTGTGGAGGAAAAGCAAAGTTTGGTACAGGGAAAGTTCGAGGTCATTAAACTTTGGTCCAAACTTAAAATTGACCCAGGTAAAGTCTTCGGCATGGAAAGGGAACGCTCGGGTCAAAGTAAAGTTAAAAGTTGAACTATAAACGTAGCGTTATCCTAGCCCTGTTAAACTTGACGCGATTGATATACTACACTCTTAGAAATTAAGTTACGATTACTACCAAAATGTAATCGTATATGACTCTACCGCTGTGATTATGAATTTACGACTAACTGGTTATAAATTTATTAGATCTGGTGACAATTCAATACCAAGTCGGTGAAACTTGATAATTAGTCGGTGACAATGGTAACCACTCGATGACAAATTTATAACCACGGCGGTAGAGTCATATACGTTTACTTTTTGGTTACAATCGTAACCCCATTTCTAAGAGTGTACTACCAAAAAGCATCGACCCACTTTTGTCTGCACGTAATATCTGGACGCTCGTCTGTATAATTTTTTTAACCTAAAATTTCCTTCTAAATGCTTACATCCCTCCTTTCTTTAGGCATCTCTTGCTACAAGTGTCTCAACTTAAGGGGCATCACGCCCGACAAGCCTTTTCCTGGGATGTTGTACGGCCCTGGCTGCGAAGCTGGCAACCTCGACAAGGATTTTCTAGCCCCCTGTGTCGCCGACCCCAGCGAGCCTTCGCTAGACTCGTGTTACGACATGGAAATGGTGCTGAACAATGCAGAGAATGCAGGAACCTTGAAGAGTTGGGCGGGGTCAGGTGCTTCGCTGGTCCAACTTGTCCGAGGAACCCTTTGGAATGGCCTTAAACTCTTCGAAGGATATTTGTTCAATAATCCCGTCCTTCCGGAACGACCTCCGGCCGAGATCCCGATGAATCTGTGTAGCTGCAAGCGAGACGATTGTAACGGGAATTGTAAGTGCGGCGGGATTGGAGATCCGGACCCGTCGACGAGTCCTTCGCCCGGGGGAAATTTTGCGGGGAAAGGTGTCACCACATCGGTGCTGCTGATCCCTTCATCAATCATCATTTCCTTGACGATAAAGCTTTACTTATAAATGTATAAGTATATTCGTTGTTAATTTTCATCCTAGGTTTCAAACGCTATTAATTTGAATTCGCTGATAACTCATTTGTATCTGAGGACAATCCGAAATAATATAACGAAGTTGTACTCTTATTATGAAATTCCTTTTGTCCTGACTTGATATACATACATATGTATTTGCATAATTAAATATTTATTTTGCATGACTTCTCAAATTTTCACAGTAGTAATTAACTTGTCAAATGCTAGATATAATGTGATACATATGTACCTTCGGTGTGAATGTTGCTTAGTTGCATGTTCCACCCACTTAACATAAGTACGTATTTGCCAACGATGCCTTTATTAACTGGAATATTTATTGCGCTAATTTCTTATAGTAAATACGTAATACGCTTCGTTAACTCTGACATAGTGGACATAACTATAGAGTTGCCTCATTGCATAACATTGCATATTGTTAGTATGAGTTGAAAAATTATGATGAAGCAATTTCAGACTTCACAAATCTTATGGTAAACTTTGTCGCGCAATTATATTGATTATTTGAAAACAAAGTATTTGGATAAATATGCGTGTTCAGAAAAAGCTTGGGTCAAATTTTTAAAAGTGCCTCTCTACTTTTTTTGGATAGGTCACCATAGTAAATAAAACATACAAATACAGACAGGAAATATTGAATTATTCCAGCGCTGTAAAGTTTATGTAATAAATCTATTTATGCTTCCTTTCATTTAAATTAGTTTTGGTCAATTGAGTACATATTCATCTACTCAATAAATTAATACTCAATTAGTTACAGATTATACATATTATTAGTTTTAATACTATTAACATGCAGAAGTTCGTTGGTCATGCCGTTCATGTAAGTTCAGTTGTGTGAGAATGCTGTCGTTTTACCTCGTTTAGACAGTCGACGGGTTATCGTAGGTCAAGCCAGTTTTCACAAGATGGTGGAGGATACGAAATTCTAATAAGTTTAAGGTTGACTAAATAAAAATTGAAACATTTATAAAGTTTTTTTAAATTTCAGATTTTAATCTGATTCTAACGCGTATATGGAAAATGGAAAAATGGAGTAATAATCTTTATTATGAACAACGAAGTACTTTATCCTAGTGAAAGGAAATATTTGAAGAAAGTATTAGTGATGGTCGGATGTAGTATCAAATTATGGTACATTGAATATTGCCATTTCCATTTCTTGAATTCATTAATTTTTGAAACCATGCTTATAATTGTTATGCTACATCATTTATATTTAAAGTTTAATTGCGATGTCCTTACTTTCTGCTATCACCAAAATTATCAATTATATCTAGTGCTTAGCGGGGCACCTGCCGGCGCCCCCTCAAATTCTGGCGCCCCGGGCAATTGCCCTGCTTGCCCACCCCCAGTTTAGGGCCTGCTCATTCGACACATACATAGGTACATATATACATACACGCATCTATTATTTATTTCTAACTATTTGGGGAGTATTGTTTTAGTGTCTTGGGCACGTGTTATGCGCTTATACTCTGACTGGGACAAAAAATTATGATTTGCAATTTGCTTATACATAATACCTCGGTTCAGGAATCTACCAATTTGAAGTCCATTTAAAATTATTTTTTCAGAAATCCAAATTTTATTTTTAGATGTAGATAGCTTAGAACACAGCACATAGTTTATAGTAACAAAAACGTGACGAGCAAATCCAAAGCAGTGCTACAAGCTACGAGTGAAGTTGATCTATCGAAAAAGGTACCATTTCCCATATGAACTTTCAAGGGGAAACATGACACAATATATTTCACTTCCCATCTCGACGCCTTCTTTAATCCACGTCTTGCCGCATTGATAAAGTCAACGGATCTGGTGTATGGGTAGGAGACAATTTTGAAGAGATGTTGAATCATTACGAATGTATCGACTGCTCCGACGGAATAGATTGCAAAAACAGGCAAGGGGATCTTCTCGCTGGACGATAGGACGACATAGAGTGACGTACTATTCAACACGAGTATGCCACCAACAACGAACGGCATAGCTGGGTCTCTCCAGGCATTGTTAAGTAGGCGTGACAACAATTGGAATTTCCTATATTGAACAAGTAAAATCATACGGAGCTATGATTAGCTTTTTTCTTGGTCCAGATATCTGAAAAATGGATCAATTAGTACTTAATTTTATGCAAACATAAAAGGGAAATACTGCGAATTCAACATCGGTATGACTATCAGGGAACGGATACCTTTTTAAGCCATCTAAGAGCAGAAGCTGCACAGCAACTGGATAATATAGAAGTACAAATAGGCCAAATGTTAACGTGCTAAAAATAACTAGACCGGTGTAAGCAGCGAACACTGCTTGTAACGTCTTTGCCAAGAAATTTCCGCGTATGTCGTCCCAATCCTTGCAGGGTAATGTTGTCATGGTAAAGAAAGAAGGTGGCATGCAAGGTTTGAGAAAACTAGTGGCGCAAAGAGTAACTGGTGCAGCTGTTATTGTTATGATAGCGAGGACCCCAATTCCAATAAAATAGTTCGGAACGTAGCCATCGACACCTAGTTTTAAAGAATACAATGTTTACAATCAAAATTATTAGAGTAATTTATTAGAGCAATTTATTATTTATTAGAGCAATTTGCGTGGAGCAATTTATTAAGCATTATTTTTTTAAATAAGAAAATTTTGTGATTTTGACTATGTATGTATGTATACCTACTCTTAGCAAATAACTCTTTGTGTGAATGCAGAGTACCGCGTACTCTGTATTCACACGTCAACGTCCGGGCGAATTCTGAGCACTATTGATGTAAACCGCATGTCGAAATTCGCATCCGTTTTCAAGAAATCATGATGCGGGCGGACGGGGTTTGACCCTTTAATAAAAGGTAAGCAGCGAAAGATATTTTAAAATTGTATAGAGAAAATATTTTTTTATTAATATTTTCTAAAATATGCCGAGGTTTCAATTTGTTGTTTTCATGTACTCTTTGGATGCCACATGGTGCCGAAAATTTGCTTCACCCCGCGTACTCTGCATTCACACAAAGAGTTGGTGGCTAAGGGTACTTTCCATGGCTAAGAGTATGGGTTGAATATTTTATATCTTGCACAAATAATGGAAACGGTATTTTACTTAGCTTAACCCGGAAAGCCTAAAATTATTCCACTGCCAATAAGAACATACGTAACGGCCCACTTCGTCATCAATCAATTCACCTTTTACACATTTGGCGCCTTTTATTTATATATTGTCGGACAACTAGATACTTACACATATAATAGTCGAGAACCTCCGTCAGTACTTGTGAATTCAAATATTTACTAACCTTTTCTCTGAGGGTCCCTTTCCAAATAGCTCGAGCAATTCAAAACGAACACGGTTTACCTCGGTACACGAATCAAGTGCAGCAGCCCAAAACAAGCTCCTATAAACAAGTCGAGAAAGAACGTCATGAGGATTTGTTTCCAACTATCTGTGAAAACACCTGCACTAGAATTTGACTTCTGAATATGAAACCATTTCAATATCAGGATACCCAAAATCGGTTTCGACCGCAGAAAACCTCCAGAAACTTAATGACCCAATTATTAGAGATCCACGATTGAAACTGTCCTATTTAGCAGATGAGATGGGTGTTCCAAAACCAATAATTTGTTCCATGTTAACTGAAGACTTAGGTATGAAAATGGATTCCTTCTGTTGGGTATCAAAATTGTTTTTGGCATCTCAAAAACAAGATCGAGTTGCTTTTGCAATGCAAATTTTGAGCTTTTAAATGAAAACTGGAACCTGTATCATATTTTAGTAGTTGAATATGATACTTGGGTTTACTATTATGACCCGACGACCACACAATAATTCATGCATTGGAAGCACGGGGGATTTCCACCACACATAAAAGGAAAAGTGCAAAAATCTGCCAAAAAATTGATGATGACCATTTTCAAGGATACCAAAGGTCTCCTCCTTATAAAATTTATTGCTAGAAATACTACGATAAATGGGGTCGCGTATGCAGGAACCCAAAAGGAGCTGCGTTCTGCGGTTGAAAAGAAACGCGGGGTCAAAATAAAGAGTTGGCCTTTTTTTAGACGACAACGCGCCACCAAATACCTCACTGTTTTAGAGAGCTGATGCAGACGAAAATCGCTTTACCTGCACAGACCACCCCCCGTGCAGTCCAGGACCCTTAGTGATTATTATCCGTTTCAAACGTTGAAGAAAAACATCAGGGGGAAACGATTTTAGGATGATAATGGAATCAAGTCGTAAGTTTTTGCATATTTTCGAGGTAAATTTGGATGATTTGTTGCGGGTGTTTCTTTTAACCGATTGAGCTGAAAAAAATCACGACCTCCAAAATGTTTTTGAAGTTCGTTATTTCATCAAAATTTTGGTCAGAAACAGTGCGGAACATACCTTTTGAAAATCAATAATAAAACACCCACGTACATTAATTTTAGAAAAATTAAGTAACTTATCGTCGTACTAATTCTAAAAAGGCCTAAGTGCAGTCAATAATAAATTTTAGAAAGGCCTATCTGCAGCCAATGCTAAATTTTAGAAAGGCCTATGTGCAGTCAATGTTTAATTTTAAAAAGGCCTAAGTGCACAATAAAAACTAGAAAAAGGCCTAACTGCAATTCCAAAATTATAAATGGTTAATTAATTATGTAAAATCATACTGTAACCTGAAATGTGAGTATAATATTCGGACGAGGCCAGTCCTGATATAATACTTGAATTTCAAAACCACACCCTCGAGGGGTGTGGTTCTGCTGACCTAAATTTGCTTAATAAAATCCTAGCGTGCAATATGTCGTATTACTCAAATTAATGAGGCAATTCCAAAAAGAATATTACAAATTTGAAAAACACACCCCCAGGGGGTGTGGTCATCGGCATCAAATTTAATTTTAAAAAATCCTGGCATGTGATACTTCATTTTTATCAGCCCAATAAAGCAATCCGAAAGGAATATTGCACATTTGAAAAACACACCCCCAGGGGGTGTGTTCATTAGCAGCAAATTGAAGTTATATGTAATCATCATTTGTCTCACTCAAGTGAAACATTCTCGAAGCGACGTTTGAAACTCTATAGCTAAACAAAAGTTTGGAGTACTGGACACTTTTTTCTTCACGATGAAGCTATACCGTCAAACATGAAATATTTAAAAACCGCACCGTTGGGTGGTGTTTTTTTGGCCGCTCACCACCTGCAATTTATACGCTATGGTTGTCTTGCGCATTTTTTTCATTCATCTGTAATCCAAGATTTTGACTGCTGGGGATGCTGTGATGCCCGATTTAGATTTGACCACATTAATTGAGTATGTATATAGCATTCCTTCAGTAAGTAACTAGCCTTACTGCAGAAGTATATACATACATAGTTAGATAAGTTGTTAAACTCATTTGTGGAGATTTTTCACAGTGTTAAGTTTGAAAGATGATATAATAAAGTTATAATGTGCCCGTGAAATGTTCCCGGGAAAGATTTATAAAAACGAAATTTGCCAACCACCTCATAATTTCGATTGGTTGAATCATCTACATAACTCCACATAATTTGTTCGAAATCGGACCGAGGTCTCTGGCGTTGTCCCGTTGTATTAGCATTAGGAACCCATATACAAACCTGTAATTCCATATACTAAACTGCAGCAAACGAAATGTATCAAAGGGGTGAAACCACAGGGAATTGACCTTATGGCGCACCCACTTCGTTCCCACACTTCTCCGTCAGTTTCGAACATATCGCATATCGCGCTACTCACGTAGCAGTATGGCTCGCTTTGACACCCCACATTGTCGCAACTCGAATCTGTTCCGCATTTTTGGTGGATTTAGAGGTTCCGAAGGACAATGTATTTCAATAAAGAGATTCTGCCTCTCTTAACCCCGTAATAACGGATCAATTATTCACTCAGGCCGAAGGATTATAATGTGTGAATACGAATATCTTGGGGTGATTATCATACTCGTAAATTGAAAAAAAAACTCAAGCATTGCAAGTCATAGTTGGTACATGAATTAAGTATCAAAAATTGCTGGTTTTATTAGATGACAATGAAAATACTAGTAAGTAAACCTACATTACACATTTTTCGCATATTTTTTACGCATTTCACATGTTTTATTTTGGCAAATTGATATAAAAATCATGAAATTGCTGAGGAATTACTTGAAGAAGATCCTGAAGGTCGTCGTATTTTCGTTTTGGAATTTTTAATCTGCATTCGTACAGGGCCGGGAAAACAATGTCTTCCAGAGTTCTTGGATTTCTTGGTAGGTTTAGCCAGGTTAGTAATGGTAATTTTTTTGCACGTATTAAAAATTTACCGAAATCAACACCCGTGGCTGCCACAACTTCGTCTACTGAAAATACGTCGTCCCCTTCACTTTCTTCTTCTTCAGTCGTCCCTTGGTACGACCAGTCAGATGAATCCGTCTCTATTTCGGAGTCTGACATTGATGATAACTTTGATTTTTACAAAATTTCACAAAAAAATGCAACAACAACACATGCGAATTTCTAGAACACTCCAAAGTATTCCAGTTGACTCTCCCAACAAACCCGCTAAAAAATGTCCTTTCGTGCCCCAAAGCATTCTCAATTACGCGACGAAAATTTCAATTCCATGCGTGACTCAACTTGTCCAGATATAATTGCACTGATTAATGATATTTTGTAATTTTGTAGTTTAACTTGGGCTTATCTCAAGATACAATTGATTTATAATTAGGCCAACTTATTTGCACCCTATCAGTATTAGAATTATAATTGCATGGCAAAGCGGCTTATACCTACATAGTTTGCCAAATTAATAATTTACATAAGTAAAATAATCATTTTATCTGTAATTATCATAACCGTATTCTGTCAAAGTACGCACGCTTTTATGAATATTTCGTTGGCACCTATAATATTTCGATCATTTGCCATTTTAGGTTGCCATTTGCAACACACGACTGAAATAAAATTTCATAAGCATTTCCTCCTGAAAACTACGAAACTGCTTCCCCTGTTCATTCTTCGCAACACTGTCATGATGTGGAACAGTAAATAGTTCTTGTTTATAATTCTAAATGCAGTTTTGTTTTTGAACTTGTTTTAATTACACATTTAAACACACACTTCATGCCTTCGATGGCTGTATTCAGCTAAATTTATGTAGGTAGGTGTAAAGAACACTCTCCTACAGAGGGGAGGTTCTTCAATTGCTGTAGACTCTGCCACAATTTCGTAATCGGGCAAAGATAAGTGGCATGGCATATTACAGGATGTTATTAACTTTATTTAGGCGTCAGGAACCACGCACCACCAAGTTTTTCAGATTGATTTGTTTGGCGGATAAAAATGAAGTATCACATGCCAGGCTTTTTTAAAATTAAATTTGATGCCGATGACCACACCCCCTGGGGGTGTGTTTTTCAAATGTGCAATATTCCTTTCGGATTGCTTTATTGGGCTGATAAAAATGAAGTATCACATGCCAGGATTTTTTAAAATTAAATTTGATGCCGATGACCACACCCCCTGGGGGTGTGTTTTTCAAATTTGTAATATTCTTTTTGGAATTGCCTCATTAATTTGAGTAATACGACATATTGCACGCTAGGATTTTATTAAGCAAATTTAGGTCAGCAGAACCACACCCCTCGAGGGTGTGGTTTTGAAATTCAAGTATTATATCAGGACTGGCCTCGTCCGAATATTATACTCACATTTCAGGTTACAGTATGATTTTACATAATTAATTAACCATTTATAATTTTGGAATTGCAGTTAGGCCTTTTTCTAGTTTTTATTGTGCACTTAGGCCTTTTTAAAATTAAACATTGACTGCACATAGGCCTTTCTAAAATTTAGCATTGGCTGCAGATAGGCCTTTCTAAAATTTATTATTGACTGCACTTAGGCCTTTTTAGAATTAGTACGACGTTATGAAAAAAAACACTTTTCAAAAATTATTATTTTTCAAAATTCAAAATTCCGAAATCACATGAAAATTTCAAATTTTAAAAGTTTTTAGGAACGTATTTTTTATAACTTCATTGAAGCAATTTTTAGCAAAAGCGTTCTTCATTTTTTAAATCGGGTCGAAATTAGAAAACTTACATCATTTTGAAAAATTCTGATTTTGGTTTAAAATATATTCGAAAATTTCGCTACAGTTGAAAAGGCTAAAAACTCGGAAAACGCAAAAAATATGGGTCCACTTGCTTCCTTGTGTGAACAATTTATGTATTTTTCTATCTCGCGAGAAAACTCTCGCTGTAAAATGCCCATTCTCGCTTATGAATTTCATCATAATTTCGTTTAAGCTGAGCATTATGAAAAATCCTGAAACACGTGTTTAATTATTTACATAAGGCTACATATTTTTCGTCGTTTCGTCAAAATCGGAGCGAGACCGCTGGCGTCATCGTATTGTCAGTTTTTGCACCTTCACAAATTTGCAAATCTCTGCCTAAGAATTTGTAGATAAAGTCCTTTGCAAATTCCATATTAATTAAATTTCTACAAACTTTTCTCTGATTTTAGTGCCAAGCTGGTTGGCGACCTCCTCTCCAATAAACCCGATTTTACCGAAGATATCCTGGTTATCATTCCTCCAAAAGGGAAAAAATCTGTGGGTGTCGATCAACTCCTAAGCTTGACGAAACGATCTCCCCCGCAATGCCTGGATCTTCACCGGTTAGGAATTTACGCCCGTCTCCACGGTCTTCCAACAGAATTAAAGAGTCCTCTCCTGAAAAAGTTTCGTGATAAGGACTCATCCAAACATGAAAAACTTGTTTTGGCTCAAATTCTCAAATACTGCGCAAAGAAGGAATCCACCGAACCATTTCTATCCACAACAGAAGTCTCCAACTTGTTGCAATCCCTCGAAACGACCAACTCCACCCCGACAATAAATGATGACCCGTACGACCCTGATCTTTTCTTTAATTTGGGAACAAGGTCAGAACTTTGCCTTCCTTTTGGCATCATTCTGCATCAATCCATAGTAAAAGGGGCCCGTGTTTTGGAAGGCGATTGGAAAATTTTGTTATATTACGAGTCTAGGATAAGTAATATAAATACATATGAAGGGAACGTTCATATATTACGTCGTCAAAAAATATCGATTTTAGCCCACCATTTCCATCTCCTACTCGTGTTTAACTTACAATGGAACCTTTTTTCAAGCTACATCGGGATTGACTAGCGAGTTATGTCAAAAAATCAAGGCAAAAATTAGGGGTCACGTGACACTTCTCTTTCCGTTGAATGGCCCTTTTGAAGAAAAATATTGGAGGTCAAAGTTCACACGAGCCCCTTGGTTTTCGCCCAGTGGAGGAAAATGCAAGAGAAAATTTGCTCAAAAATTGAACTCAACTGAAAGTATTTTTCTTCAAAGGGGCCATTCAACGGAAAGAGAAGTGTCACGTGACCCCTAATTTTTGCCTTGATTTTTTGACATAATTCGCTAGTCAATCCCGGTGTGGCTTGAAAAAAGGTTCAATCGTTAGTACGAATAACATTGGTGACCGAGAACCACTAACGCCACTTTTTGATGACGTAATATATGGACCTTTCCACATGGGAAATATGCTCTTAGAAAGCTGGTAGTAAATTTTTACTGGCCACACGTATCTATGTATACATAGTACTACCGGGACTATGATAACGAGCATTACGGTCCAGTAATGTCGGCGTAATGAAAAATTTACGAAATATGTAAACTGTGACCAATCCGGTTGGAACTTATTACCAGTACGGAGTGAATATATTTATGACTCTACCAGCTTTTTAAGAGTATATTTTGCTGGCAAAAATAACAAAACAATTAATAAATAGTCTTGTCCAGTCTTCTTCCATCATTTGTAAATATCAAGGTTTTGTTAAATTTCAACCATTTTAAAATGTGCACTTCCGCAGATTCAAATTATTACCTTTATCATTACCCAAATTGTGGATAGGACTAGGGTTGCCGCGGGTAACGGGTCGGGTACCCGTTACCCGCATACCCGCACGATTCTTGCGGGTACCCGTTATCTGCGGGTAGCGAGAACTACCCGCACGGGTAACGGGTAGTTCAGTTTTTATTTAATTTTCGACATAAATCAGTTCACAAAGAAAGTTAGCAGCAAGTTACCAACAAAAGCGTCAATTTAGTCTTTATCCATTTCAAAACTTGTCATTTGCCAGTAATTAACGTTTATAGCGAGCGTCTTTTCGGAAGCCACAGAAACCTACGGCAACCTCAAATACCTTACACGTCCCGAAAATTCGGAGAACTTATTGTTACTCAAGTATAATTTGCCTGATCTAAAATATCAGTAATAAATACGTTAACTTGTATTTGTGTTTATTTATGTATGTAAGACTGACAAGATTTTAATTTGAAGGTGGAAAACCAGAATCAAATGGAAAGCAAAAATTTTATTTGTAGACAATTCTTTTAAATCAAAATTTCATTTAAATCAAAATTTCAAAAAATCATACTAAAAATTAACCTTTTTTCAAGCACACCAAGCTACACCACGATTGTCTAGGGAGTGTATCAAAAAGTCAAGCCAAACATTAGGAATCGCGTGATACTTTCCGTGGAATGACTTTGAAGAAATGACTTCGAAAGAAACGACTTTGATGGAATGATTTCCACTTTGAAGAAAAATATTGGTGGGAAAGTTCAATTTTTAAGTTATTTTTCTGCATCTTATTCCTCCACTGGACGAAAACTATGATGGACTTTCAACTCTGTCCCCAATAGTTTTCGTTAATCGGACTATTCAACCGAAAGATAAGTGCTAATTCCTAATTTTTAGCTTGATTGTTTTTACATAAATCGCTAAGAAATTTCGGTGTAGCTTGAAAAAGGTTCCATTGTCTGCCTAAAAGTCTGGTTTCAGAAACATCTAATGAGATCTAGCAAAATATGGCATTCGGAACTGGCACAGCATTATTCCAAACTGCTTATCAACCCAAATGATCAAATAATGATTACATCAAATTTACTCCGAAGGTTGGTTAGGTTTTAACTTAATTCTCATAACGGGTAGCGGGTAACGGGTACCCGCACGGGTAGCGGGTAACGGGTACCCGCACGGGTACCCGTGCGGGTACGGGTAGTTGTGCTGCGGGTAGCGGGTCGGGTAACGGGTAGCATTTTCGCTACCCGCGGCAACCCTAGATAGGACCATAATAAATTTCTGTCTATTTAATTGCGAATTAATGATTCACTGCACATTAAACTGGCTACAATAACGATTTTAGAAATATTATAAAAAATCAGACCATTAGATTCTGCATATTTAGGTACACGGCAGGTTCACAGGGTAAATTTTACACACCATACATAAATATATACACAAGCCAAAATTTCTCGGTGAACTGAAACATGACCAAGACATGGCCAGTGGCGGCGGAAGTTGGGGGGGCATATGGGGACTTTTATAATTGGGAGATATGAGAAGGAGAGGCTTATTAATAAGGTAAATAGATAAATTCGAATGGTATATTCGTACCCTAAAATATGTACAAAGGTTCAATGAACTTACGTGCATGGGATTTCCAACGGTTGTAAAAATATATATGTATAATCCCCACGTGCGTAATGGGCCAATTTATTTTGCCAAGGTAAAGAAATACTTTTCAGTGGAAGAGATGTGACTTTGCATTTGCATATAAAGTGATGATCCTTATCGTAATCTGGGATAATCTGACAAAATCCCTGGATTATGCCGGCCCCCGTGCTATTTACACCTTAATAATCCGTCCGTTTATTTCGAAGTATTTTTCCAGCCTTGCATGCAAACACCGACCAGCGGTTAAGGTATGCCCATGAGGGAGGGTATCTGGGGAAGGATGAAAGCTACATTGAAGTTTAAAGAATCTTGTTTCAATCTGCCCCAACACCTTACAAAAACCCGGAAGAACCCCATTGGGCATTCTAGTTTTCCCGGAAATCCGACCCCAAAAACTACAGCCCATAAAAACCCGGGGTAGCGTACCCTTATCAATTGGGAGTAAAAATTTTCAGAGAAAATGAATTCCCTGACACGTGACATGCGACTCTACATTTTCTGCATACATACGTACGTGCACACATAAATGACTAATCATACATAACTCGCACATATAAAAATGATGATAATAATGCTTGGATAAGCATGATATCGTGCTTTGGCCTGTTGTAACCAAAGCCCAAACCTGATATTGATACGTCAGTGATAGTGATAGTGATATTGATACATATGTAATTCGCCACTTTCATTTATCCAGGCATCAATTGCGTTCAATTATTTATATTTATGACCCCACTAAATATTTACATACGTATCAACAAAAATTATGCAGGCTTAACTGGAATTTGCTGAATCATTCGGTGAAAAACTTTTAGCAAAAGATAACCTCCTTATCTATATGTAGAACCCTTCTCCAAGTCGAACTCAACCGTGCGTCAGAATTTTACATAAAACGGACACAGGTCTGACCAGGTTTAATCATTCAGGAGTAAAATAACATTCATCAATTGCAAAATATCTTCATCATCAAAAGTAGTTACAACAATGAAGGGATTATCCTTGCTAATTTTTCTGGCTGGCTTCGTTTCTCGAGGGGAAGGCAAGTAACTCATTCTTTCCTTCCATAGCTCGGCGGATATCGGGTTAAAACCTCCAAATATCCGGATCAGAATCTATATTCATTAAAAATTCCCGTCCTCCAACCTCCAAAATCCACGGGAAATCCACGGGATTGTAACGGGAAATGTACTTGCGGCGGGACTGGAAATGCGAGGAAAGGGGTCATCATATCGGAGTTTCTGGTCCCTGCAGCAATGATCATTTCGTTGGCGAGAACGCGAGAACTTGAGTCGATTATAAATTAATAAACCGTTGTAGCGGTAGAAGAAGCTCGCCCTGTTATACTTAAGTGGGTGGACTCGGTACACAATTTTGACATAATCATGGCTCAAATTTTTATAGACTTGTGTATAAAAATGGATATTAGGAAATAAATTCTAGAAATGCATCATTTAATTTAAATTTTTGCAGCTATGGTCCGGCAAATCAGACATAGAAACAATAGAAAACTCTGTGAATTAGAAAACATCCGTATTTTTAATAATGCCGAATTATTAAAAATTCTTGGTCGCTGTTTTTTTGAATTGCATACCCAATTATTTACTCGAGAAGAAGAGCAACTTATCAAGAGGGAGAGCAACTTATCAAGAGGGAGAGCAAGTTATCAAGAGGGAGAGCAACTTATCAAGAGGGAGAGCAACTTATCCAGAGGGAGAGCAACTTATCCACAGGGAGAGCAACTTATCCAGAGGAGAGCTCAGACGATTACCTCAAGTTAATGAAGACTTTGAACGAATCTCAAAGAAGATATTTATTGAACCTTTTGCATAATTTGAAAGCAAGATCGGGACAAAATTTCCACGTAATTCATGGGCAGGCCGGTGTAGGAAAGAGTAGATTAATTACTGCAATAGTTCAGTGCATATTAAGGATGTCGGACAAGGAACCTGGATTAAGTGGTGAAGCAATTCCTGTGCTAGTAGCAGCAGCAACAGGGAAAGCTGCATTTAACGTTTTTGGTATGACATTGCACTCGGCATTTAGACTCCCACCCAATCAATACGCAGGAAAAATGACTCCACTGGATCATGGTTCATGCAATACCTTGCGATGTAAGTTTGAGGCTTTAAAAGTTTTGATAATCGATGAGATTTCGTTAGTTAGCTTGAAAATGTTCACCCAAATTGATCAAAGATTGAGACAAATTTTAGGCGTCGATGAATTATTCGGAGGGGTTAGCCTCTTGGTCGTAGGCGATTTCTATCAGCTTAGTCCGGTGTTTGGACAATTTGTTTTTGAGGATAGCAAAGAAATTTTAGGCCCGATCATTGGAAATCCACTCTGGAATAGATTTAGTCTATTTGAGCTTAAGGAAATCATGAGGCAAAAAGATGACGCCAAGTTTGCAACTGCACTAAATAGACTGTCCATGGGAATGCTTGAAGAAGAAGATATCCAAATGTTCAAGAGTAGAGAAATTGGAAAAAACTTAATTGTTCCAGATGATGCAACATGGTTGTTTTACAGCCACGCAGATTGCGATAAATTTAATCGCGAAGCGATAAATCGAGCAAAGGGGCCATTGTACAATTCATATGCCATAGATAGAGTGCAGGGTGGAAAGATTCTAGCCTCCCAACAAGCAATGTTGGAGTCCGCCGAATATTTAAGTTTGCAGCAAACCGGAGGAATGCCATACCACGTTGCTTTGAGAGTCGGCCTTCGTTATATGATTACAACAAATATTGACGTATCTGATGGATTGTTTAATGGTGCTACAGGAAAATTAATTAGGGTAATTGAAAAGCCATTAACTAACGGGCAGAAAGCTGTTAAGATTGTATTTATGGAATTCTCGGAGAAATTGGTAGGACAACTGGCAAGAGCAAATAACTTAGGATTACTCAAAAAATTAGAAATTCCGCTGCATTGGACCCCGATCTTCTCGGAAACCAAGGCATTAAATAGTTTTGGGCACTATCAAGGAATGCAAATTGTTCGCCGTCAAATTCCCCTGGTTGCTGCTAATGCTATTTCCATCCATAAATCACAGAGTCTGTCTATCCCAAACACAGTTGCCAATATTCCAACTCGAGGATTGAGAAGGGATGCGATATATGTAGCTATGAGTCGGGCACCTTCGTTATCAGGATTATTTATTGGCGGTACTTTAAATGCTCCACGTGCAATCGATACTTTAGGGCATCCTGTAGCATTAGAGCTTTCCAGGTTGCGAAAATTATCATTCCCATATTAACTCAGATATTTACCAGACCTAGATGATCCCAATAAACTCGTATTCCACAACATTCAGTCTTTCCGAGCACACTATGACGATATTGTTGCTGATAGAAACTACATGGAAGCTGATATGCAATGCTTTTGTGAAACTCGGACATTGATTTCAGATATGGTAGAACTGCCTGGATTTACACTTTTGCATGGAATAGATTCACCGTCTATGCAGTCATCTATTGGAACACTGGTGTTTAGAAGTGACTCATTCTCTGCGAGCATATCAGATTTTCAATACTCACATCGAAATTTAAGTGTCACTAAACATTTGCAAATAGTTCGATGGATTCCAAACGGTGTAAGGATTTGCATGTTATACCGTAGTCCTCAGTATAGGACGATGAGTTTTCTACAGGACATCAGAAATCTTTTAACTAGCACAAAAGGCTCTCCAATGATTGTTTTCGGCGACTTCAACCTGAATTTTCTAACCCAAGATGGATGTCAAATGAGGCAAATTTTTTCTTCAATGGGTTTCAGATTAATAACTCCTTTAGAAAGTAGTACGGATGGGAATACATCGATAGATGCATGTCTTTCTAATGTGAATGGCGTTTCAGCTTGGTTCTACGAAAGCTATTTTAGCTATCATAAACCAATTTGTGTGACTTGGCCAAATGATGTAGATATATTGCCTTCACATGTGGAATTAGAAGATTGCCACACCGAATTAATGGAGGTAGATGTAAGCGAAAATGACATAGGCGACGAACCCGAGGAGTCGGAAATGGACATAGAGAACGAAGCTTTATCTGTAGACATTGTAATTTCCGAACCAACCCCTTCAATTCATATCGGAATTCCAAATTTAGGAAATACATGCTACATTAGCACAATTCTTCACGTAATCTATGAATCTCCTTCCATTCAAGCATTTCTGAAATGTAATGAAGATCGTCTATCTCGTTGTCTAATAGGATTCTTTCACGCATTAGTCACCCCAGTTTCACTTAGCCACCTTAGAAGCACCAGGCTGGAGTTAGTTGAATGCATGCCATCATACTCAATTGGAATGCAAGATGACCCCCATCTATTTCTCCTTGACCTACTGCAGAACTTACGCAACTCTGGTTTATCTCTAGAGGAATATATTTCCAATATAGAAACTGAGGTTACGTGCACTTGTAAAAGTAAAGGAACGAGAAATGAATCGTGTACTTCCCTATCCATCGGAAGGTCAACGCAAAATTTACAAGAGTGCGTTAATAATCACTTCACCGGGCAGCAGGAATATCTCTGTGAGAACTGTAAGTTCTCAGGATTGGTTAATTTCAAATCTAACCATTTCAATCTATCTTGGCGCCAAGATATTGGCGCCAAGAACGTTAGTGGTTAATCTGAAAATTTTTACAAATCAAGGTACAAAAATTACGGAGAAGTCGTATGCATCAGATGTTCTTACGTTACCTGGCTCGGATAATGTATACGCTTTGACACTTATAGTTAGTCATTTGGGCAATTCCTTAAACTCAGGACATTATGGTGTTAATTATAGACGTGAAAATGATTGGATAATCTATGATGATAACAATGTTTATGTTTCGACGGACTGCGTTGGCGATAGCTATATTTTCTTATACAAATTTACATAATTCCACCTTCAAAACTATCTAACCTCTCGTAAAGTCACCATTGTCATAACACGTAGTTAATATGCATCTCTTATAAACCTTGATTCATACAGTGCATACAATCATCAAGCTATCCTGATAATGTTGAAATACACATTACCAGGGCACATGGCTCATACAATGATACTAACCAAAACTAGCTTCACGAAAGGTCACAAAAATGGTAAACAAAACTTGATTCATACATGGCATTCTACCATCATCACGCTGCCCTGATAATGTTGGAATACACATTACCAGAACTAGCTCATAAAAATATGCATCATTATCATAATCACTGAAAACGACAATAAAATTATTTGCATTACCTCTCCCTGTATGCCACTACCAGCCCTTATATAATTTTAGGGTCATATATGTATTTAATCTAAGTTTATTCAATTTTCAGATCTTCATCTTTTTGGTTCAATCGGAATATCCAAGTTATTTGATTGGTTCACTAATTGATTTTTTCAGATTCAAACGATACATCAAGGTTCAAAGTTACCCAAGTTCGTTTAAAAAAGGTAGGTGTATTTTATTGCATTTTTGCAATGAAGTCATCGAGATTAGGGTGTCCCAAGTCATTAATAGTGTCTCATTTGAGTGCACTCCTGGTCGGAGTTAAGTACAAGGAAATTATTTCCCAAATGAGATACTGACTGGGACAGGTAGTGGCATCTAATGGCGAGTGGTAAGGGGGTTCATAAATAGAAATAAAATTATCATTTCAAATGGTCTGGTAATGTTGACATTACCAGGGCCCAGATGCGATGTAAGATGTCATGGGTTCATAAACAGAAATCGCACTGGGTCGTAACCTGGCTGGTTACCTGATGAACGGGAGTAGCGACCTGTCTTGGGCTTATAGAGAGCCGAAACCCAGTTGGTGTTGTGTAAAACCATGCAAGTAATTTGAAGTGAAAAGTACGTTTGACGATCACCAATGGTACAGAAAAATCGGATAAAATAGAACCATGCTATTCATATATAATTGCACTAATGGTACAGAAGAAATGGGGCAAACTGTAGTAACGTTAGAAGTAGCTCACCCTGTAATAATGATTTGGTTGTAACTTGCCCCAAAGGTGCACAAAAATGCAACAAAATAGACACATTAGTTTTTGGCAATTATGCACCAATGGTGCAGAAAAATCCAACAAAGTAGAGCAATAATGTTTATGCAACATTGCACCAATGGTGCAGAAATATTGAACAACATAGATCAATAATTATTATGCATCGAGGAAAGTCCAAAAATTATGCATCACTGGTGCAGAATTACCTACCAACGTTCACCGATAATTTTGAAAAATTTATGTCAGAATTGTCAAATAAAATCCGCCGAGTAGTATGCACTATTGGTGCGTTATGCATCAAAGCCCCCAATTCTTTCGCATCATTTGGTGTTTCCGATTGTTAGATACCAACGGTGCTATTAATTTATGAAAAAATGGACCTGATCCATTCTAGTGAGTATCAATTGATGCTCATCCAATTGTTTCGCATCAGCTTGGATAACCAACTGTTCAATACGAACGGTGCTACTTATTCCAAAATTTTAGTGCTTTCTAAATCCATTTGCACAATTAATTCGCACCATTTGCGCCACGGATTGTTCGATACCAATGGTGCCGCTAATTTATTCTATAATGGTCAAGGGGATTATTAATTAGCATCAATTGATGCAAAAAACTCGTGAACACACAGACAGACGGACGGACGGACAAGAGGAATTCAATAGCTCTCGTGCTACGCAGGGCGAGCTAATGAGGGACCATCCATATATTTCATTATCAAAAATTCTCGATTTTAGCACGGACCAACCAAACGTGAGTATGCCTTAATAAATAAGGATTTTTAACATGGGAAAAATATGATCACCCGCCCAATAAAATTATTACGTAATATATCGACGTTCACTTAAAATTTTCGTTACTTCTTTGTATCCTAAGTATTTTTCACATCGCAAAATAACCTACGAAGTGATTTTATAAGGCTGAGGCTGAGACATAAGCAAAATTTTGCTCTGAAAATCATGTTATTACACTTACGATTTTTACAAGCCTTCTTTTTTCTTCATATAAAGATCGCTCACGATGGTATCGGACTGCCCCGCAAAGAGTGCGCTAGGCGGGAACACAGCTAAATTAAAAAAAATTATTTTTGAATAGACCAAAGTATAAGCTTTCCATCGATATATGTCAACAATTATTGAGTCACGGCTAAAAGTAGAATAACTTGGGTTGAAAGGGAAGAGTTGGAAAAACGAGGAATTGAGTTTCATAAAAATGAAGCAAACAGTGATTCCAAAACTACTCGGCATTTTTTTAAAGAAGAAGGTAGTTCTGAACCCAACATCAACTAACGAGGGAACCTTTTATAGTGCCCTGAGCTCCCAGCATATCCAATGTATATATTAGACGCAGTTTTTAATACTAGTCCTATGATGTGACAAAATCTCCGTGTCAAAATGACATTTGGTCAAGTGGTGACGATTTTAGTGACGCGAGGAACGGTCACTTTCTCCCATGATTTCAATAGTGCAGCTACTATTGAAATCATGGGAGAAAGTGACCGTTTCGTGATCGGGCTGAAATTACGCGGACGGATACATAAATATTTTTTCAATATTCTATAAAGTTCATTTCATCATTCTAAACGCTGGGGGCTATGTTACAAGCATTGCGAAAATGCAGGTTTTGGTGCAGCTCTCGCCAAATATTTCGCGAAAACGTGATTTTGCACCGCATGTTCTATGACAAAGTTTTAGTTTCATTAATTATCTGTCGATTAAGGCTATTACGAAGGAAATCGAGATGGGACAGTAGTTAAGGTTCCCTTGTAAGTCCAAATATTCTAAGCTATCAGAAACGCCAGACACCTTAATTAAATTTAAGAACAGATGGAAGAAAATCACCTTGAAAGTAGGTGCAGCCTATGGGCGGAATTTGACGCGAAATCTGAAGAAGAAAATGCTAACTGTAGCAGACAGCGGAATTGAATCATTAAAATTTGAACTGTATGGCAATCCATACCCTTTGGTAGTAAACATATGCAACTTTTTTGAAATTACATTGAAACTGTGTGTAAAGTTATGAGCTTTTTATTACATTAGTGTCATACAATCGTGACCGATCTTTATCAGGAGGATCATTAAGGATGGGATCGATTAAGGTTGACCACAGGGGGGAGAGACTGGTGGGGGATTTTATTAACGCAGCCTCCAAGATTTGAATATTGTCCCAGTTATTTTGATGGGTTCCTTGGTGCTTGTTATGGAGTTTTGTGGAAATTTTCCTGACACTCACAGGCATGGAAGAACCACATAATTGAAAATCATTCGATTAAT